GGGAAAAAAAACATGTTTTCCTTTCTTTCCTGTCTTTTTTTCATCCTGCTATGACATATTGGTCACAGAAGGAGCAGGCTTAATGCATCACCAACAAATACAGTTGTTTTGTGTGCATTTCTCTGTGTTGTTTAGTCAAAGGTCAGGGCAAGTTCAGGGACTCCTAAGGGACTGCAACACTGCTAAGACCACAAAATGTGCCCCACAAACACTTTAAGAATTCCTGTAGTATTGATAAAAGCACAATGACTGTAAAAAGAATGTTCTGAAGATGTGGTCATGCATATGGCCTCTATTGCTTAAAATAAATACCGCGCTGCAGCAGTACTTACATATCACAAAGTTTCAAAAGTGTGACTCATTTCTAGCCCTGCATTTGCTGTGAGTTCTATTCATGAGGCAAGTTATCGTTCAGCTTCTTTTAAGGAATACCTCTCCTTCTGATTTGCTTTAGACTGTCACTGTTATTTAAGAGAACAGTTGTCACCAATCACAGTGACATTAACATCATCGTCACAAATAGTGATCACGGGTTTTTAATGTGTGGCCTGTTCTGTACTTCAGAAAGACTATTTGCATTCATGAAAACATCATTTCACACATATGTGTCAAATCTCTAAAGGTTTGACAAATGTACTGTATGTGTGTATGTATGTAGGGTAGATGTCTTTAATGTGGGATAAAGTAATGGTTCTGCTAAACCTCTACTCTTCTGCACATATATAGTGTACCTGGTTATACAGTATAGCTCCAGTATTGAGGGATAAATTGAGTGGCAGGAGACGGATGTCAGTCGTGATTGGGTTATAACAATGAGGTCATGGCTCCCTCCTTGTCTTATCAGCCAGAGCTGGGTTGCTGATATCATTGTGAGACTGTGTCAATAATTAATCCTCCATTCCTCCCTCATGGCAATTCTTCGGCCTCCCTTAAAGTTCATATGAGATACTTCAACATCACTTTGACAGGAATTCTCCAGTTTATAGTATTTCTGTTGTGTGTCTCTTCAGCAGAGGCCAAAAAGGGAAAGTCTGAACAGGTGTTTTGTTAGGAACATGTTGCTTTATTATGACACTATGCTGCTTTATTGAGGAGCAGTATTTAGATAAGGACTGCATGAGTAGCTTTAATTGTAGATTATTACCATTTACAGTACCGTTTACAGCATTTTCATCTTCACATTGTGTGCAGTATATGTCATCAGTGGCTTGCTGATGGCATGAAATGGCACAAATGAGGATACCAGACATCTGGAATATTTCTGTATCTAAGGAACAATAAGCCTTTATGCATATTTGAAACTTGTGTCTTTATAGACGCTGTGCATTGTTTATGGTCTCTAATTACAGCCCAGAATAGATGAATGTGTGACATGTAGATGGAAATAAAAAGCCCAAAGGTGTGAACAGACGTGAGAATGACTCATCTGCCTTATTCCGTCTGGTGTGTTTCATTGCTTCTCGTCCACTATGTGCTGTGATAGTATTCACCCTGCTTCAATTGAGGTGAACATTGAGATGAATGAAAAGGTTTAACTGAGCTATTGTATGAAAATGTAGAAACAATTTGCCTCAGTTTAACTTGTGTGGGTTATTAATTCCAGCTGCACTGTATTTCTCACATTTTTGTAAGAGAGAATTTTGAGTCAAGCTAATATTTTCCTCACTATAGGGATAAAAGTACAAGTGCATTATGTTTTCATCTTGCTCATTTCCCCACACATAGTTAGGGCGGCGACGTCCCTTGATATTGAAGTCAAAATACAACAACTGCTTCAAAAGCATTTTGAGTACAACTTTCCACAGAGGAAGCAGGACATTTAGGTGTTTTTGTTATGAGAGAATAGTTCCAATACACAGCTGCTGCTCAGTCCAAACACTTTGTAATCTTACCTGATGTGGCAACTACAGTGCCATCATCCAGGAAATGAGCTTGAGTCATGTATTGAAATGTAGCATTGGTTAGGAAAAAAGCTGCGTTTGAAGGCTGCCTCATAATCGAGTGGTTATGGCGTGCCACACCACATACTGTACTTGGCAGCACACTGTGTGCTTGGCGTCGATGTATCAAGTCCAACTGCGGACATTTGTCGCAGGTCTCCACCACTCTTTCTCTGTCTCCCTTGTTTCCTGTCTGCCTCTCTGTGACCCACTGTAAATAAGACTAAAAGGCTAAAAACATAACTTAAAGTTGTTTGCAAATATATGATCCTTGGATTGTGTGTTTAACTTTAATACAGTCGGGTCTGTTTTATCCTGCAGCGAGACATAGAGAAAGGCCTGGAGATGAAGAAACTGGTGCTGTCTGGCTTCTTGGCCAGTGAGGAGATCTACATTAACCAGCTGGAGGCCCTGCTACTGGTGAGACACGCTAATATGTACACACACAGCCAAACAAGATCTCCTGCAAATAATTTCACTTTCTATAAAAAGTTCTGTCACTGACTAACAGACTTGTTTTCTGGAACTGAAAGGCTGCCAGAGCTGATCCAGCAGTCTGCATGATGCAGTGCTACTGCTGTGTGAGTTGGGGAAGACCCATGAGAGCACTATTAGTAGTTAATGGCCATACTGAAAGCAGGACCACAGTCAGTGCAGTTTCCTGAAACATTAACTCAACATGCCTCCTCATGCTAAACCACTATGTCATGTACTGCTGCTCACTGTCAGCCACATGCTGCACTTTGACCAAGATGCAGGCAGATTATCAAGTGCAGTATCAACCTACACACTGTCAAGATCTGTCATCACACAACAATAAAAAAACCTCCACTGCTAAAACACAAAGTTGCAGTGAGTAGGCAGTCAGTGAGATAAACTGCTGGCAGAAATCTGATCCGTCTTTCAGTTCCTGCTCTTCCCTATGTGACACATCAGGTCATAATACAGTTCAACCAATAAAGAGTTAGTTCCTGTTTTTTTTTTTTTTGTTTTTTTTTTAAACTTGGGGGAGGTTTAGTTTATAGGATATTGCAAGCTGATTCACAAGCCGCAGACACTGACAAGTCTAAAGACTATACCTGACTCAAGAAGACCCATGTCATTTTTAAGTTGAGATGTGAGCATCAATGTTAGACACAGTAGCAATGATAAGGATAGGGGCTGTACTGTCTGACGTTATATGTTATACACAACTTTAACCCCTGGCAGTGATACCACACACACATTTTGCTTCCCACATATTCCTCACTTAAATGTGGATGGAGATATATGTAGGTGACCAGTCTGCAAATGCATTCATCTGTCCAACATGTGTCAAACCTGATGAGGGCTTTTCAGCTTGCTGCCTTGTCATATGTAGATGAAATTGGTAGCGTGTGTGTATGTGTGCCTGCAGTCATTGTCTTTGCTTTTAAATGGTCATACAACCCCTGCAGTCAGTGGAAGACTAACTCATCATCAGCCCCTGACAGCTTTTGTTTCCATGACATAAAAGCCTTTGTTTTCATAGTATTTCAGGCCCCCCCCACCATGTCCACTCTATGCACATCTATGATTAACTGAGTTGGCGTGTGATGTGACTGATCAGAAGCAGCATAGTGGATAAGAGTTCAGTTGCTGACAGAGGATGACACGGTGCCGTCTGAGGGGGTGGAGAGCACAGTCATCCAGCTTAGGCTTGCACCCTCACCCTTTACGTACTGAAATTTAATTATGTCATGCACCATATCCAAATCCTTTCCTATTTTTCTTTGAGGAACATTGTTTTTAAACTGTTCAATAATTCTCATGCATATGCTGGCAAATGGCCCATCTTTGTTCCTAAAGGGCTCGGCCATTCTTGGCCACTTCCGTACCAAATCATGATTGCAGTCACCTGTTGGTATCACCTGTTTCAAGAGGAACTATCATTTCATTGTTTTACCTCATTACTGGCCCTGAAATGCAACCGTCCCATTTTTTTGGAATGTATTGCATCATCAGAATTGAAGTGAGTGTTTATTTTGAACAAAGAACAAAATTGATGAGTTATCACATCAAATAATGTGCTGCTGTGTTGTTTGCAATGTAATACAGGACACAGATGGTTTACACATCATTATTTTCAGTTTGAATTTAGATTTTACACACCATCCCAACTTTTTCTGATTTGAGGTTATAGACACTGGTCCAGTTAGGCTACTGCCTGGGAAGTTAACTGGTCCAAAATATACTCACTATCAACTTAACTACAACTTCAACCAATTTTTGTCTGAATGTGTGTATAAAACAAACCTCATTTTATACTTAAATAGAATTTCTAATTCTTGGTATGTTTAGTTAAGGTCAGTTTTCTCATTTGCTCAGTTGTGTTTGTTCAGTCTGTCCCTCCTTTCTCTCTCTTACCTTTCCAGCCCATGCGTCCTTTGAAAGCCACTGCCACAAGTTCCCAGCCTGTCCTCACCATCCAGCAGATAGAGACCATTTTTTACAAAATCCAGGACATCTTTGAGATCCACAAGGAGTTCTATGATGCCCTCTTACCCAACATCCAGCAGTGGGATGAGAAGGTCACCGTGGGACATTTGTTCCAGAAGCTGGTGAGTCTGACGTGGGCTCAGAAATTACATTGTGTGGGTTTTTTTATTTTCTCTCTCCATCATTTACAGGCTACATGTAGATGAGTATTAAAAGGAGACCTGTCAGGCTCTCACCATTTTGTACTCATGAATCACTCTTCTAAATTGGATGGTGTGTGCGTATGTGACTGTATACCACTGTGTCCGTGGTCTGAGTGGATTACAGAAATGTTTCAGCCTCTGGTCTGTTACACTGTCATGTTTGCACTGCATTATGTTCAGCTCATAATGTAGCAGCATTAAGTGTGTGGCTCCAGGCCTCAGCTAGTTTCAAAGTGAGTTGGTTCTCCTGCTGTGTTAGATTACTACACTCACTGTCCGATTTGTAGGGACGATAATGTAATTTGAACAGGGCTTCTTAGCACATACTGTAACAGCTAAGCTGTGCATATACTGTACAGTGTGTATGTTGGTCATATTATAGACAGCATGCTGTAATAGAGATGTTCAACTGAGATGTAAGAAACCAGACAAAGTAAATAAATTCAAACAGAAGCATAGTTTACAAGGTAATGCCCAATATTGTGTAAAGTCCAGAGGCAGCCATAAGTACAAATTATTGCAAGCAGTCATACAGCAGGTGAGAATGAAGTAAATAAACCTTGGCACCAGTGTTGGAGTACCCGAGTCTGACTCAAATCTGGATTTGTAGGACTCATGACTCGAACATGGACTCGAGCATTGACAGCATTTATATTTGATAGTTGGAGATTCAGACTGACTTTTTTTTTTTTTAGGCCATAATAATTTGGCCTAAGATATAAATATTAAAACCTGTTCGCCCACACCATGCTGTCTTGCACACTTCCATTGAAGTGCATACTCCGCCTTTCTATAAATCATTTTATGTATCACATTGCCAAGCATTGTGGTGATGCAATATTAGAAAGTGTGGAATATGAAATGGTGAGAGTGGTGTCAGTCTTGTTTAATGTAGACCTCGATGACTGTGACTGGGGTAACGGGGACTCGACTCAGATTTTTCTTTGGTGACTCAGACTTGACTCTGACCTGAGGAGACCTGACTTGGATTCTAGGTTTAGTGACTCAACTACATCACTGCCTGGCACGCTGTGTCCTGTCAGTTCATTCCCAGTGTGTCCCACTGTAAGTCGCCAGTAACAGACCACCTCTCACTTTTCAGGGCTGCCCTGTTCACATTCACGCAGTTGCACATTCACATATGGAAGCTGCCCAGTACAACCACAGTCTGTGGCCACTGAGCAGCTAAAGTTAAGGGCCTTGCACAAGGGGGCACCACAGTATTAATTTCATCTTAAAATACTGATTGAAAAGCATAGCTTATTATAATGAATTTATAAATAAAGTTCCAGCTACCGAATGTTTGATCTCCATTTCCAATGACATAACAATATATGCAGTTTTAAGTATCGCCCCTTAAATATTGTCAGCAATCAGATAAATGTGAATAACTATGGATGAGTACAGCATGTCCCACATTTAGTTTATGGCCTTGGTTTTTGCATCTTAAGAGATGTGATTCTTTCTTGCTAATGAGCTGTGAGTTAACCAGGTGTCCCATTATGAGAGATCCTGTGACATTTTGGGAAGCCCTTGTTTTGACTAGAGGACAAGCCTAAGTGTCATTCCAGAATTAAAAATTTGGAATCTATTATAGACTTTATTTTAGGCTTTCAAAAAGAGAGCCTGCTGTATGAAGTTGTTGGTCTGTGATTCAGTGTTCTGTGGACTGCCAGGTTTGATTTGGATGCAGAGGGATTTTTTAAAATAGGACGTTCATGTGTATGCATTGAACAAGACCTTAGGCTTTCTAAATCTGGAAAGCATGCTGTAGACTGTAGATCTAATCTTTCTGTATTATCAACTTACAGTTTGTGACCTTATATTGCTGGACAAAACCAAAGTGTCACATTGTTTGTTTTGATAAGGTCACATAAAGCTAGATTTACATATGTCTTTTCTGTTCATTCACACTGTGGTGATTCAGCTACAGAGTAGCTACTGTATGTACTGTATATATTATTAGATATGTATATATTCTTCAAAATAAGGGTTTGGAGGAAAAATCATTGTATGGTTTTAATACTAAAAGTCAGCTATCTTATATAATAACCTTTTTTAGTCATACCCATCTTACATCTTAACTACTTTTGCAGAAGAAGAAAGGACTTTCTAAACTTTTCATGAAAACATATTGGTTGACTTGTGTGTGCAGGAATGAATCACAATATGTGTTTAAAAGAAGATTTAATGAGGCGTTTGTTTAATAGAAGGTAGTGCTGAACATTTAGAGGGTGGAAATGTGTCAGCAACTCAGGAGGATTGATTACCAATACTTCATAAGCTTCTGTTTACTAACAAAGAAAATGTCCACAGTTGTCATGCATTGATAACTTTTACTAGTTTAAGTGCTCAGCCCCCCCCCCCCCACCCCCCGTTATATATTTTAAGTGCCCGCCACCCCCCCCCCCCCCCCCCCGTTATGGGGAACCCAGGAGCCACACCACGAAGTGCCATCTAGTAGTGTAGTCATCAGTTGCCATCTCTGCTAGCTATATGTGCGTAGATGAGCATGTCCTGCGGCAGCTACACATTTAGTCAGAGTGGCAGTGTGAGGGTGCAGATGGCAGCGTAATTAACTGCTCTGCTCCCTACTGCTCCTTGTCAGCAGCTCTGAGGCCAGTGGATCAATGCAGAGGGAAAACAAGCAGACATGGGATAAAACCCAGCCAGAGTTCCATGTTTTCTCACCTATTTCAGTCGAGGGAAGGGCTCAGCTGCAGCCTGTGACTGCCAGGATAACATTTGACCAACCAAATTGTCAAAGTCCCTGGAGGCATGAGGTAGAAGTAGGAAGGGTCTTATGTTGCTACAGTCATGGCTCTGCAGGAAGGTTTTTGGGCTATTCATGACAAATTAGAAAATGCATTTCTGTAGGCATGCTGTCGGTTTTTGACACTAATTACTGTATTATGTTATTGTGGGTAAGTGGATTACTGCTTCCTCATGATAACCTTTTAATGGATTATTGTATTTGTTCTGAGTATATTTAAAATAAAATTATGATGAGGGTATGTCAGAATGTTAACTATGGTATTTAGATAATATATGATCGTTTTGGTTAGGGTTATCTTAACCTGTGTTTTTGATGTGTGTACAGTCTCAAGAAAAATTAATAGTGTTGGTTGTAAAGACATGCAAAGATCATGATTGTGTTTTATCATCTTAGAAATATTGGGTTTATTGATATTTATGACTTTGGTAAAGATCAGATCAAATTTCATGACCAATATATGCAGAAAACAAGGAAATTGCAAACAGTGCCATTACTTTTTCTTGCAACTGTATTATACTGTAACCACATGCTAGCCATTTAAGAGTGGTTATTGTGGTGAAATCTCCCTGGTATAATTGTACTCTGCAGTCGCTAGTCACATGTTGACGACTGTAGTGTGTTAAAGATCATGTAGGAGCTGTCTATATGTGTACAACAAAAAGGCAGTAACAGGTAGGCAAGCTGTAATCAAGCATATGTGCAGCGCATAGATACTGATTTTTGCTAAATATTCATTGTGCTCATGCTAAATATTTTTTGATTAAATTATGTAAGTGGAAAATTACTGAAAATATTTTTTATTAATTGATTATTGAAATATATTATTACAAATTCACTTTGAATTTTGAATTCCACATAGCCACACAGCTATACAATTCATAGCCATGTTTTCCATATAGTGGACAGTGTTACTTGATTAAAACGGGGACATCCTCTAAAATGAGAGCAGAGCTTGGATGTATGTAAAAGATACTGTTAGAAACATGGCGTGAATGTAGCCTTCTGCTGTCCAACACGTTAGTCGGCAGATTTGTTTTTTTAATCATCTACTGAATGTCTGCTTCTAGTCAACACTCTGGTACTGTCCCATCTCTCTCTTTCTGTTTCCTACCCTCACTCCTTCTTTCTTCCACCTCCACTCCCAACCACAAGCTGTTGTTTTACCACCCACTACAATGACACGTGAACTTGTTTAAAGTGCAGACACTTTGATGGGAGCATTGCTCAATGTTCTGCGTCACAGTGACCTTGAGAGGTTTTGTTAAGGTTAATGTATTCAAGCCACATGATGAAATGATGACATATCCTAACGTCATTATGCTCATGTTGTACTTTCCAGCCAAGCTGCCAAGTCAAAAAATCTCCTCCTTTGGAAATTCAGTAATGATACATGGTGGTTTGACATGATGAAGTCATCATTATGATGAGATGATGAACAGATATTGACTTCTTGTCTGTGCTAAACATTTGTGCTCAGATGACTAGATCACAAAATATCATTTGTTCTTACTGGGACTGTATTGATCTACTACATCCTTTGTCATATGACACTGGGTGATTCCCTCACAGCTCCTCTCTCAAGCCCAGCTCTCCACAGATACCAATTCACTTTATCTTTCCTCACTCCACTTTCATCTAAGATGGTATCTTCCAGCTTCTGACTGACTGAACACACCTGAGCCAGGTAATCAGCAGCGGGTCAGGCAGGGATAGTTGGAAAACAAGCAGGACAGCAGCCCTCGAGGACTGGAATTGGCCACCCCTGGCCTAGCCATCCATATGTAGCTGTAGCAGGATGTGTCACTGTACATTTCACATACAGTGCTGCAGAGAGGGGCTGTCAATGAAAGGGAGAGGACAGACAAAGTTTCACTCGGGAGGACTGCACAGAGCCACCAGTGGCATCATGAGAATGTGGTTAGCTTGTGTGCACTGACTACATGCTGATAGAACAAAAGAGGGAGCGCAGTGCCTTATTCAACCATCCACTGCAGGCACCATTCTGTATATGTGTTAAAGCCAAACAGCGGGCTTTGCAGTTCAACTGCATAAAAAAATGATTTGTGTCTTTCCCAGAAGTACTCTGGTTTGATGAGAACGTAGTGTTCGCAAAGCACCCTTTTAACTTAATATTTCTAAAGAATTCCAACAGTTCAGTTAAGTTTAAAGGCTTCTTTGTGAACTCTTGCACACTAATAAACTCAAGAAGTTTCACCTGTGTGTAATGTCTAAATAAGCAGTTGTACTGTGACACTGATGAAGGCCAGATGAAAATCTTCTTACAGAAGTGCTTTCTTGCCATTGAGTGTGATCCCAATTTATGATTAAAAGAAATTAATTTATTTACTAGAGCTATATATAAATTTTGATATAAAGATGGGACATGCAAAAGGTGGCCTCTCAGTGGACATTTCCCTAAATAAATAAAGGTTAAAAAAAGATATGGAGGTGCTAACTGAAGGTCAGCGCATGCTGTACTCCAGTTTGTTTTGTTTTATGTACTTGTGTTTGTAACCCGCTACATGTTGTTTTGTAATTGTACATGTATTAGACAGTAAATCAGTTATTCGTTCGGTCTCCAGTACCCATCAAACTATTCAGATCAGATAGAAGAGAGCTGAGTGGCGCTATCCTGGTCCCTCATCTTTCCTTTGCCTCTGCCTGTTTCTCCTTTTACTTATGTCTGTTATTCTGTCTCCTTTTACATGACCCAGGCCAGTAGGCTGGGAGTGTATAAGGCCTTTGTGGACAACTACAAGGTGGCGCTGGAGACAGTGGAGAAATGCAGCCAAGCCAACAGCCAGTTCCAGAAGATATCTGAGGTAAGGTTCAAGAGACTCATGGAGCAAATGGAAGGATGTAATGAGAACATGCATGGCTAGCAAAAAGGCAGAATTCATTAGATTCAGTAATGATCTGGGTTCATTTTCATAATCTGATGATTTGGTATTATGTTATATTATCAATCAAGTTGCTGTTTGTTGCATTATAACATCATTAAATCATCATTTTTAGCCACAGGTACAATTACAATAAACATAGCAACTACTATAGATATGTGCAGAATTTGTTTTATTTGTCTGCCATTACATTTGATTTCTTTACCAGTTTGATTTGCTCCTATGACACAAGTACTTGCTGGGTGGGCAAAAGGGGAAACATGATTGACTGTACTCCCCTGACAAACATAATAGTAAGTCCATTACACATTAAACCAAACCTTCTGGTCTCATGTGTCCTGTTAATTCTTTTCAGTAAAGTGAAGGAGAAAACAAATGCTCATGACAGTGAAGTGAGGAAGCTAGGTAATTCACAGCGTCCTCTTTTAGATGGTAAATATCTTTAAGGAACACTAGTTTCAAACACACTGTATGTTGATGTTAAAATGTGCTACACCTAGCACATTAAAGCTTATTAGTGTCTGGGCAGATGAGCAGTGTGACTCATGACAGGAGGTTTGGACTGTACCTCAACACAGTTTCAGCAAAGTGCATACAGTGGGTACAGAAAGTATTCAGACCCCCTTAAATTTTTCACTCTTTGTTATATTGCAGCCATATGCTAAAATCATTTAAGTTCATTTTTTTCCTCATTAATGTACACACAGCACCCCATATTGACAGAAAAACACAGAATTTTTGACATTTTTGCAGATTTATTAAAAAAGAAAAACTGAAATATCACATGGTCATAAGTATTCAGACCCTTTGCTGTGACACTCATATATTTAACTTAGGTACTGTCCATTTCTTCTGATCATCCCTCAGATGGTTCTACACCTTCATTTGAGTCCAGCTGTGTTTGATTATACTGATTGGACGTGATTAGGAAAGCCACACACCTGTCTATATAAGACCCTACAGCTCACAGTGCATGTCAGAGCAAATGAGAATCATGAGGTCAAAGGAACTGCCTGAAGAGCTCAGACAGAATTGTGGCAAGGCACAGATCTGGCCAAGGTTACAAAAAAAATTTCTGCTGCACTTAAGGTTCCTAAGAGCACAGTCGCCTCCATAATCCTTAAATGGAAGACGTTTGGGACGACCAGAACCCTTCCTAGAGCTGGCCGTCCGACCAAACTGAGCTATCGGGGGAGAAGAGCCTTGGTGAGAGAGGTACAGAAGAACCCAAAGATGACTGTGGCTGAGCTCCAGAGATGCAGTCGGGAGATGGGAGAAAGTTGTAAAAAGTCAACCATCACTGCAGCCCTCCACCAGTCGGGGCTTTAGGGCAG